AATTGAGGAAAGCGAAAGCATGATAAAATCTTTAAAGCATACAGGAGACGCAGTCGTAAAAGATTTAACATCATTTCTTAGTGAACATGCGCTGAATGCAATTTGTGGTATTGTATCGTACAACTACATAGAATTTTATTTCTATCTACAAGTAATAAAAAATAGAATACGATTTTTTAATTAAAAATTCGATAGCATTATACTACTGTTTAATATGCAATTTTTACACATAACCATAGATATACTTAGAATACGTATCATAATTATCGTGACACTTTCACAAATGCGTTTGCAGAAACTGCAATGGGTACTTCTCTAAGAGATCTAAATGCATTCCAACAACCTTATCGAGATGCGGTTTACCGGGTGGGCGAACTTCTTTCTTATAGGTAATTTATAAGTATAATAAGTAATACGTATATCTATATTCTGTTTTAACATAATAATTTATATTATATTAAGATAAATAATAATTATAATTAAAATTATAATGTAAAATGTTGTCGGTAATTAAAAATTTTTATGATATTAACTCACACATATGGTCAGTTAATTTAATTATTTAAAATTAAGTATTGCTTAAATTTTAATATTTAAAATTTAATTGACTACAACATTTAAAACTTCTCAAGTTTTTAAGTTATATTAAAGTATCACAAAAAATAAAACAATTTAGTGTAAATATAGATTTTTCATCTAACAATAAGATTAAAAAGTTAAAAATCAAAAAGTTTAATGTTTACATAATCTTACATCTCTCTTTAGGAAAAATTTATTATTAATTATTATAAATATATTTTTATACCTTTAGTAGGGGAGACCGGGGCTCGTTGGCACAAGAGGCAAGTTGGCACTGCGTTCCGTTTATGATTAAAGAAACACTGAAAAAGTTACAGTAAAATATCTCTTTTATAACATAGGCTTATGTCTTTAAGTTGCATTTAAATTAAACAAGTATTTCAGTAAAGAAAGAGAAAAATTTAATTTGAGAGAAGGCAAATAAATTTTCGAGTGTTTCAAAATTTCGTATTAATGTTCTTCAGCTGGAGAGAGAAATCTAAGTGATGTTAGATAAAAGAAAAGTTTTTATTACTATATATGTTATTTTGAGTAATTATTATAATTTATTATAATAAAATGATTTAAGTTATATGTCTGTGAGAATGAGTCACGTTGGCTCATATTGAAGTTAGCTTACAAGGGAAGTTAGAAACCCAAGAATTTAGAAAAATCTGAAACTTCGTGTAAAAGTAGAGCAGTTCATCCGTAGTACGAAACTTTATTTTTTGTTGGTGCTCTATTCCGTTATGAAGGGATAAAATCACCCCTTGAAAAAAATCAGTTTTTTTCTTCCGACGCGAATATCGTCGAAACTATGAGAAATAGAAAAAAATGTTCTAGATCAAAATTAAATGGCTTGAAGTGTACTTTATGACAGTAACAAGAAAAAATTTAAAAAAATTTGTTTTTTATATTTCCCCAACCACTTCACTTTTTTTTTAAATTTTAAAATTTTTTATGACCAAATTAAAGATTATTTTAATACAAATTCAACGATGTATGATAAAGTTATTTTCCAAAGTTATTTTTGAGAAATAATTACAAACGCCTTTATATGCACACCATCTGTACCCGTTTACGTTGCGCGCACGCAGCAATTCTTCATGCAGCACGTTCTGATCTTGCTTTTAACAAGGAATAACGATGAAAGTAAATTTGTTTTTGTAATATTCTGCGGATGTATAACTATGAATCGTTTTTATCGCGCACGGCTAGACAACGCTTATAAAGCAAAATTTGAAGGAAGGTCATAGAATATCAAGTTAAATCGGTGTAAACAACTTATTGTGAGAACAGTCTGTACGTATAATCATGGAAGTTTCTTATTTTATCAGATAATATTTGTGAAGCATTTGAATAAGCATTTAAATATTAATTAATTTCAAGACTGAAATAGCGATAGACGCATACGCAATAAATTATTCCTATTTTTATTGTAGTATGATATAAATATAAGTAGGAATACATGTTGTGCAATATTTATTAATAAATTAAAATTTATGCGATATGGAAGTGTTTTGCATGAACTATGGTGTGTCTCATCGTCCAAAGGTACTGCTTCGTAAATATTATCTGATATCTTCCGTGATTATACGTACAGACTGTTCCCACAATAAGTTATTTACAACGATTTGATTTGATATTCTAATATCAACCTTTAAATTTTGCTCTGTAAGCGTTGTCCAGTCGTGCGCGATAAAAACGATTCATAGTTATACATCCGCAGAATATTGCAAAAATAGATTTGCTTTTATTATTATCCCTTGTTAAATGCAAAAATGCGATCAGAATGTGCTGCGTGCGCGCAGCATAAAGTACAGTACAGATGGTGTAGAGTACAGATGGTGTGCGTATAGAGGCGTTTGTAATTATTTCTCGAAAATGATACTTTGGAAAATAATTTTATCACACATAATTAAATTCGTATTAAAATAACCTTTAATTTGGTCACAAGAAAATTTCAAAATTTAAAAAAAGAATATAAAATGGTGCGGGAAATATTTTAAAAAAATTTAAAAAAAATTTTTTTTATTACTATTATAAAATAAACTTTAAGCCATTTAACTTTGATCAAGAACATTTTTTCTATCTCTCATAGTTTCGACGATATTCACGTCGAAACAAAAAAAACCGATTTTTTTCAAGGGATGATTTTATCTCTTCAAACGGAATAAAGCACCAACAAAAAATAGTTTCGTACTACGAATGAACTGCTCTACTTTTTCACAAAGTTTCAGATTTTTCTGAATTTTCGGGTTCCCTAACTTTCCTTGTTAGTTTAACTTACTGTAAGAAGCATGTAACCATTTCATTACAACTTAATTATGACAAAACGTTTCTTATTTAATTTCTGTATTGAAATAAGTTACATCTAAAATAGTTTATATTTATTATTCTCTAACAGCATTTTGCTATTTGATCATTACAAAATAACTCTAAAAGATGCGATCTGTTTTTACTACTATTATGTTTTCATTAATTTAATATGGAGTTTATCGCTTAAGCAACTAACACTGTGACATGTGTCATCTTACCCGACTATTGGGATAAATTGGCTACATTGCAACATGTTCGTATTTTACTTACTACAAAGAAACTATAAAGTGTACAGAATCGTTTCTGGCATGAAAATGTAGAGAAAGGTTTATTCTACCATATTAATATTAGTTTAATCATAATAGATAGTTGTTTAAAAACAGGAATGTCTAAATTGTGAAAACTGTGCCAACGAGCCTCGGTCCCCCTTATTAAAATAATATTAATTCTACAATTCTAAAAGCTTATAGAAAAATTAAAGAAAGATCTCCTTTACAAAATGATATTATTATTTTAAAATACCATATTATTTCATAATTGTTATTTACAATTAGATTAATGAGGCCATGGTTGTATTCCGATTGGATATTTTTATTAACGCCAAAAGGTAGAGAGCAAAAAAAGCTTTTAAAGATATTACACGGATTTACCGAAAAGGTAAGAAAACTGTTTAGGATTGTATTTAAATGTTATCTATTTTGAAAAATTACGATAAAAATTTTAAGACTTTTGTATACAAATGTTGTAAGATAAATCATAAATGTTAAAAAATTAATGCATGCATTTATATAAATTCGCAAAAAAAAAACATTAATTTTATATTTACATAGATTATAGCCGAAAGAAAACTTTACCATGAACGCACTAATGGTCAATATTTGAAAAACTTTGGTAATGAAGATTTAACAGAAGAAAATTACGTAAAAACAACTGGAAGTATGTAATGTAATTAAAAGTTAATTCTTTAATTTGGTCGATGTTTAGTATCATAAATTGTATATACAATTTTAATTCTAAATACAGTTTTATTTTTAATCAATATAATTAAAACAGCAAAGATTTAGGCTATTAATATCATGCCGACATTAGATCGGAAGA